CTAGCTTTCCTTCACTTTTAAATAGCTTGTAAAAGCGGCATGCACATTTTACTTTGACTTTGAAATAGCGGCAATTCGGCGTAAGGCAATTGTTCGTTTTTAGTTCGTTTGAATTTTCCCTCTTTTCCTCGCTTTCCGTCGTTTTTAAATAGCTTAAAAGCGCCATGCGCATTTTACTTTTACTTTTGAATTAGTGGCAGTTAGGCGTCAATTGCTTGAATGCAACAACAAAATACAACGACTCTCTCTCCTCACTGGAGAAATTAAATCTGATCTGTGATGCGACTGTCGTTCTGTACGCTGCATTGAGCAGCCGCGTTCAGTTTTTAATTGTAGTGTCTGTTCTTTTACTGAGCTAAATTATTTTTATTTCTATAAAAAAATCAAAACGACGGTGGGGATCGGTGACGCGGTGGGCAAGTGACGTAACCGGTGTTGCGGCTTAACACCGGTATCACCGTCAACACCGTCTATCGCGGCAAGCCTATTTCAGATCTTTTTTTTTTCTCCAGCTGATGAATGATAAAAGCATTGCTAGCCAATCAGAATCCATCCTCGAGTATTTAAAGTGACAGGCGATAGGACTGAAGCACTTGCTTATAATAAACAGAATGTCATCATCCATTGGTGTGGATGCTGATATTGTTATCATTATAGTTGTCTTTATAGTTACCATTGTTGGTGTGAATGGGCCTTTAGACCTAGATAAGCCCAGGCAGCTGTAAATGAATGCGTAATTTCTTAAGAGGGCGACACATCTTACCCCACTTTCCCTTACAGTGCCACCATGAAGTGAAGAAAAATGCAAAGAAAACAAATTTTTAAGCCTTTATCATTTTCAGTGGTGTGCGCAGTGAAGCATGTTGAGGCATTCGATGGGGTCGGCGCTGTGAACGTGTGATGCGCGTGCATGCATGAGTGTTTGACGTTCTGGATGGCTAGTTCAGCAGCTCCCGCTGTCTTCTCGCTGACCCTCAGGCTAAAAGCTCTCACAGATCATAGAGCCCAAGGTCAGGGTTGAAAACTATCAAGCTCAATCCCACCCAGATTAAAGCCTCGAAGGCCGATTGAGTGCTGCTTGTTGACACAAAAGAGAAGTAAACACAACATCACGGGAGTCGGGAAGACAAACAATTGAAGGGCTTTGGGAAAAATGAGCATAGATATCCACCAGCCCTTAGGTTTCTAAATAGCTTTAAAGAAGTTTTATGAGGAGTAGATATCAAAATTACTGGTGTTTTGGCATTAAGTTGATACTAAATTAAAATAAAATACCCAACTTGGCAATGCATTGATGTAAACATTGTAAGTTTATCTTCTGTGAATGTAAACAGACAAGACAATCATTATTTGTACAGTATTGCATCAGTAGCTTTGCTTGCAGTGTAAACACATGTAATCTAATTTACCTTCTGCTGTTTAATATTGCTAATACTTTTATTTATTTATTTTGTTAAAGTATTTTAATATTTTTTTTTTGTAAAGTAATGTTTATTTAATCTTTTTTTTTTTTTTTTTTGTATTTGTCATCCTTTCCTATCAAAATGCTTGCTACAGATGCAAAAACGTACAAAATCAAACCTGATCTGAATTCAGTGTGTAAACGTGATTGAGACAATGTGAGGTCGTATACATTTTTTAACGTGCAAATATTTTGGACGAGAATTTCGGACTCAGTGTGCAAAGACCTTAAGAGCTATATCACTTGTTATTAACTCAAATTTTGCAGTACCTGTCCTGGAAATTGAAATATGTGAAGTCTCCTGTAGCTCGTTTTTGGCTCTAAAAAGAAACTGTCTGCAATTAATATAAATGTGATTGAAAGGAATACGAGTAATAAATAAGTCAGTGCATATAGATTTATTTGATTTTTTTTGTTTTCTTTTCACAGGTGATTCTGATTCTCACCAAGCTGTATGACTTTCACCTTGGCAGTGTAACGGAAAGCACTTTATGGAGGTGAGCTAAAAGCTACAAAGCACTTTATGAAGGTGAGCTAAAAGCTACCATCTCTTCCTCTCTCTCCCACACCTCTCCTTCCATCTTAGCTCTTTTCCCGTTCTCCATTACACTTTCTATCCAAGGCAAAGTATGTGAGCGATGGCAAGCGGAGTTATGTGATTTTGCCTGGAGCGAGGAGCAGTAGTATTCACTTCAGGAACTATTCCATCTCAAACAAGAACAGTGTTAATTTCATATTCACAGCTTTAATACATAACATTTTTGTGGACAAAATATATATATATTTTTTTTTTGCCAGTTGTATTAATTTATACCATCAGCTGGAGAGTACCTAAGTATAGCCTGTTTCTTAACTATTTCCACATTTAGAGCAGAAAAAAAAGACTTCGACACTGATCCAAACCATAGAAGTCCTCTACAGTCTAAATTCAATTTATTTTGTCATCCCTTTGTAATCCTTATTGGCTCTGTTAGATTCTCGTTTACTGGTGTTTTTGGACGCTTTGTGCAATTGAGAGTGATAGGAGCAGCCTTATCTTTCTCACGGTCAACTGAACACTTCAATTTGGACAGAGAGAAGCCTCGTATTTAGGTGCTTAAGTCTGACGATTTGCGATGACGTCTGATTTGAGATGACAAGTGCAGTGCTCTTTTCATGAGCTGCTGTAGGGCAGAAGGGTTTCAAGGTTAATGGGTTTTCTGAGAATACACTGAATGATTTTCCTAGTAAAGGATGTGTCTCATTCTATGTGCAATATAAGTACAGGCTATGATTACTATATTACGCCGTAATTGTTGTGCAATTAAGCAATTACTATACATTGTCAAATTAGGGAAAAAAAGACTTGGAAGTCAATTATACTCTATTTAATTTATATTAAGTTTTAACTCAGTTTTAAAGAATGGAAGATTTTGTACTACATCGGCCATGTCTGATCTGTTATTTGTAAATACAATTAATTACAATTATTATTATTATTATTATTATTATTATTATTATTATTTTTTAATCATATTTCATAATTAACTTTTGTAGAACAGGGTGAAGAACACTTCATTTTCCACTTCATTTTCCAAATTGCTTCACCTGAGTTTCTTTAAAATGCAATTTAGTAATTCTCTCTCTCTCTCTCTCTCTCTCTCTCTCTCTCTCTCTC